TATACTGTTTATATATTTATTTATATTTACCTTTACCTGTATTTTTTCTGTTTGCAGCATTTTTGCTCCTATATATGTTGGGCTGGTGGGAAATCTCATAAATACTGTGATAGTAATGGTTTGGATCCCTTTGCAGGGTAAAACAAAGTCAGACCATCACGTGAAGGAACATGGTAAGTATTTAGTGTTTCTGATAAATAACACATGAATAGGGACAGGGGATTGACATGCTGTAAGGACTGCTAAAGCACTTGGGGTTGCATTTAAGGGCAAAAAGGTGCCAACCTTGAAATGCTGACACTTTAATGCCTAAGCTGTGCTTGTGGAAGAGTATTATTCCCTACCGGTTGACCACCCTGCCATGCAGAATTGCAGGCTTCCACCCCAGTGCTTGCCATCCATCTCAGAAAAGATTAATATGGACCCCTTGCTGGGGGTTAGTTTGGCCCGGCATGGGAGGCAATCCTGCTGTCTCACAGGGGTCCTCTGCTTGCAGACCCAGCACCGGTTCCCAGCCTCCTGCCATCATCAGAAAGCTGGTGCTGCAGAGACGTGCCTTTTCGGAAAGGTGGTGGGGAACCTGAGCAGACAGTCTCAGAATTTCTTGCTTCCTGCCTCTAACCTGTATAAATAGAGTATTAATCAAGATGTCATCTTCTGTAGGCACATCGCAGTCTGGCAGCGTGTTTAGCATCAGAGAAATCCTTCGCCTGATGAAGTTTCCAGGAGTAATGGAAATTTTCGTAGTCAAGGTCTTTGCTGGATTTCCCATAGGTAAGTCTCACCCGTTACCCATGATTGCTGATGTATTTGAAATAAGATGACATACGTTGTAGACCAGGCTTGTCTCAAGTTACTGAAAGCACATTGCATATGGTCATGGAGCGATGAGGATTCAGTGCCTAACGCGAAGCTGGATGCTGTCAAATGCTCACAGTTACCCAGGGTCAAAACCCTGGGACTTAACATAAAACAGACTACTTGTCACGGGCTACTTCTGTGACTTTTGGCAAATCACTTAATGTCTCTACTCCATCCCCCTGGTTGTAAATGTTTTTTCTTCTTGTCTGTCATTTCTGTTTAGGCTGTAACCTCTTCAGAGCAGAGGGAAATGATTTGTACTCTACCAGAAATGCTGAGGTCCTTCCTGATTTTACTTAGTGATTTTAAGGAGTATGTGTACCCTAACCTTTTTTCCAACAACTAAAAACTATCGCTGGACGAGAGGCTGTGGCTGCTCTAACTGTCGGCTGCATGCAGGGGAGACACAGCATCTATCCTCCCTTGCACGTTGATGGTAGCGCTTGTTCTTCTCTTCTTTATATATTCTGCTCATTTTTTTGTGTCATGGTAGGAACCCACTGCTACCTCAAACCCATCCCAAACCTGCCTGTTTCCCTGCTCCCTTTGAGTCCATTGCTGTCCTGGCATGGTCCACGTCTCCCGATTTGCCTCGTTATATATAGCCTGGGCCACAATTTAATAATCTTTAATTTTGCCTACCCTCTAGCTTCTTTCCCCCTGGCTCGTCTAGAGGCAAACCAGCATGTCAACCTTGTTAGTGGTGGTGTAAGGACAGGGTGATGTTCTCTGCCCTTCCACACAGAACGCCTTCATGGCTCTTTCCCAGTCAAACCTAAAAGTGCAGTTTCTCTTGATTATGGTTTCAAGGATTGTATTTTGTGCACATCAAGACACGTACACATCATGCATCTGAACAAACTAAGGCACGTCCCTTCCAAACAGGGATCCTAGAGAGGATTTAAGGCATATTAGCTTTTATACTTTGCATCTTTTTCCAATTCATCTGAGTCTGGAGAAGCCCTTGGAGGTTAAATAACGTGAAACATAATTTACAAATTAAATTCTAATTTGTAAACTGTAAATTCATTTTACAAATGAAAGTAGATTTGGCTGTGGAGAGTGGCTGAATTGGAAAGGGATGGCATTTCTGGGCTTGGTCAGGTTCATCTGTTATTCCTTGCTAAGGCTCTGGGGGAACAAGTCCAACTGGAGCTGTAGAATAACATTCAGAGAACTAAAGGATGTCTGATTTTATTTCTTTTTTCTTTTTGTGTGCAGTTGGCACAGGCTGTGATCAGTAATGCCCGTTGGTCCTACCCCCACCACTGCAGAAAGGATACACTCTCGATGGACTGCTGGCTTGCCCTAATAGTGCACTTTTTTAGCTCTCATGAAACTCGACTTTTAAAACTGTATTTTTTAAAGTGTTTATGAAACAACAGCATTCCACAGAGCGAGACAGTCAAGTGATGTTTTAATAGGGTTTTCTCTGCTGATTCTGGCTCATTTCTCAGCTTAAAGTAGCATTCATTTCTCTGTTTAAAAATGCCTGAGACCGCATCCATAAGCAATCTGCACGGTAATTTCCTGCGTGCTCTCCTTTTTCCAAAGGCCAGGAGAGATGCGCTTTGTTTTAGTCATCCTGGCTGAAATGTAAATTCCTCCCTGTTGCAGAAGACACTTTTCTTTCCCCATGCATAGCAAAAACCATGTACCTAACCAAAATAAACATCTCCTGCCCAAAAATTCAGGGGAACTTCTAGGAAAAGAGGATGGAGACAGTGAAGCTGAGATTTAAGGCAGGGCATGGGCTACTAGTCTGTCACTGAAATGGCTGGGGGTATTTCCGTAAGAGTAGGAGTGGGTTCACCCGAGGCACTCCTGCTACAAGTATAGCACTTGCACTATGGTGAGGAGTGATTGAAATCCTAGTGACTTCTCTTTGCAGGTCTCTCTTTGCTTCAGGTGACTGACCATAGGATGACAGCTGAAAGGGGGTTTGGCCATCACCTACTTTGCAGCTCATCGCTGGAGGCTGAGCTCCTCATCAGCTCATTTACCTTTCATCTCCGGGCTGCAACTGTATAATTAATTAGATCGCCCAAATTACAGGCCGTTCTCTATTTACTTTGTAAACAAGTTTGTGATATACACAGAAGAAATTCTTCTGTTCCTTATGGATCTCATTGTTGTCTAAAATTAGCTTGTTTGAAACTGAAAGAGCCTCCCCAGGAGGGCTGCAGGGCTGGGAACCTCCTCCCTGTGTTGCATAAAAGCAGAGACTCGGGCGCTGTGCCTCTCGCAGGAGGGTGGCTGCCAGGGGATGGAGGGGCAGCAGACCGCTCCAGCACGGCTGAATTACGTTCTCAACTGACCTGGGAAAAGAAAGCCTCATTGCACTGCGGTAGATAAGAGACAGAAAAGAAAACACGAAGATGAAAATGTTAAACATACATTTTACTGACCAGAAATCACCAGGGCCTTGAAAATACTGATAAATAGCTGCTTGTATGAATCTTTAGCTGCCTAATCCCTTTGGAAAACCTAGTTTTGACACAAATGCTTTAGTACCTGCATCCCATTTTTAAAAGGACTTTCTTTCACGTGTGGAGCAGGATTTTGCAGTGAACCTTAGGGCTCTGCATCCCATCACCTTTGCAGTCCAGCGTAGGAGGGCTGAGACAGGCTCCCAGAGGCCACGCTCACCTCCTCACACTGGCTCTCGGTAAGGATCGGTAAGCTGGCCTTCCAAAGCCATGGACTACTTTTAGAAATGTCATGTCTTTTTTTTTTGAAAATACGGTTTGCACTCCTGTGTCTCCTTGGTGCTTTTCATTGTCTTTATCACGTCTCGCAAACCGTTTATCTGCCTTCTGCTGCATAACCCTAGTTACTCATCCCACGGGTGCCAGGTTTTCTAAGGAGTTCACCCCTTATTTAGACCCCCGCAAAAAAAGGCGAGGTTTCTGGGGATATTTTTTGCCATTTTCCTTTTTTTTCCTATTGAAGACCTGAGCTTCCCAGTGTGGATTGAGGCTTACCCGGGCAGCTTCTGTGTGGGCTTTTGGTGTCTCCAGAAGAGCCTGGGGACATGCCACCCCAGCGAGCCCACCCCAAGGCGGGGGACACTACTCAGCTGACCTGCAGCCAACCCAGATGAGACCTGCTGAGATCTTCATAAGAAACGCTTGTTCCAATGAGTATAAAATCTTTTGAGTTCAATCTGGGGCTCGCCTTGTGGGTTTCACCAAGAAATGTGTTGATAGTGGGAAAGACCTCCTTAGTTGCTGAAAGACAGGAGGGTTAGGGGGTCTCCCTTGTCCAGGTGGCTTTAAGTGACCATGCAGGCACAGGGGGTGACACCTGTCTAAAGAAGAGACCTTTGCGCCTCCAGGGGAGCCATGCAATGTGTAATGCTAATTAAAGAGCACAGCCTATCCCCCTGCTCTGAAAGAAATCAGCTCATTTGGAGGAGAAAGATCCAAATCTGCCTTAACTCAATGAGGGACTTCAAAGGGGAGAGGAGCTGTAGAAGCTGGCATGTGGTATTGGGAAGAAGCGTCAGGTATGTGGGGAGGTCGAGCCCCTCCTAGGTGGTACCTGCAGTGCGGTAGCAGGATGAAGGGCGAGCACCCACTTCGATCTAATCTTCCTGCAAGTGAAACAAAGTGTGGGTTTTTTTCTTTCATTTCTTCACGTGTTGCCTTTTACAAACATGTGCAGCTCTATTGCCTGGTTTGGATGTTGTGAGTAAATACTGTTATTTGCATGTTACCTTAAGCTGGCTTGAGCTAAGAGCGATTTCAAAGTAACTGTATAACGGCGGGGTGCTCTCCACGGAGGGGTGTGGTAAAGCCATAAATCTTCATGAGCTCCAGTTCCTCAGCACCTTCTCCAAATATCTGGAGAGTAGCAAAGCAGGGCGTCCTTCCTGCCCCCATCCCTCTCCCCCAGCACCATGGGGCCAGCTGGTGTGCAGCTATCCCCATTCAGGGGGGGAGAGGTGTCTCTGGTGGGGTTCAGGAAGGCTTTGTGGCAGGTCCTGGGGTGGAAGGGTGATGGTCGCTCCAGGCAAAGCCTTGGGGTGCTTGGAGGGAGGTCCTCATTGCTGCAGGTTCTCCACTGGTAGCGGTGCCGTTGGGCTGCTGGATGCGGTGGGGATGCACTGGTTTGTTAGGGTGCGAGTCCTCCACGGTGTTTTGGTCAGCAATTTGGGATCGCTCTCCTCATGCTTCCGGGAATCACCAGCAAATCCTTCCCATGCCATGGGGTTCGTGACTCACTTTGCCAGGCCACAATCTGTCTTCGCAGTCCTCGCACGTTGCCTCCTGGGCTCTGTTTTCTTCAGGAAGGAGAGGACCACAGCTCCTTACTTACCCAGTCTGTACCTCACAGGATCCTACAAGGGAGGGAAGGACCTCTAAAGGTCATCTGCTCTCCTCTCCTCCCCCCAGCAGGACCAGTGCCCTCCGATGGGCACGTTGTGGGGTCGTTCACATGCAGAGTCCCAATTTCCTACTGTCTTGGTCCATGTGAGGTGCAGAAGACATTAGGGGAGGCAGCAGCCACTCATTGAGAGTGATGTTTCGTCATACTTTTAATTTGATGGCTCTTTGTGTACGATGGGAGCTCGTGTACACGTGTCTGTATTTGTGTATGTTTGGTGATGGGGAAACACACACTCTTGTATTTTCATGTGAGGTTAAGTGAGTGGGCATTTTCCATTACACTTTCCAGAAACTGCCTTAATTGAAAAGCAGACCCAGCCTGTGCTGTTTCTGTCTGTGCTTTCCTGGCTGCTTGGGTCGACACCGCTCTCGGTCCACATGAGGGTTATGTTACGTGCCACCGGCGTCATTGCTGAGGTGTGCAGTGAAACCGCTGTATTTAGGCTGATGTCACTGGGTTGTTCGCCATGGTGAAAATCTGAAGCCAGGCAAAAGGGGCGAAGAATCCAATCAGATTCTTTTTATGGTTACAGTCTTGTCTGAACAAATGTTTTCTCACTGTCTTAATGGTTAGTCTGGCTTCAGTGCTACAAATATTTACCAGTTTATAATAAACAGCTGAATCTTCAGCCTACGTAGTCACATTATTTAAAGATGAAAGTAAGGGGGATTAAAAAGTTAACATTTAAAGATTAAATTGCTACACTGACTTTGAATAGGATTCTGCTCGTGTTTATAGCCAGTCCTGGCAACCCCAGGGAGAGCTACTGAGTCATAGTGGGGGTGACTGGGAGCAGGGTCTGGACCACTATATGCAGTACAAGTATATTGATGTATGCTTTTCATTAACCCTCCCTCTAGGTTTGTTCCTGATTATGTTTTCCATCATCTCTATGGATGTCTTTGGCTTGGAAGCAGTGGCGTCTGGATACCTGATGTCATATTTTGGTGTCCTTCAAATGGTAAGTGAAGTAGAAGTCCCCCTCTTGCCACACCACTATCCAATTTCCCACCTTTTTGACACATGCTTTTCCAAATCCAGGTGTAATATTGACAGGCAAATCCTAGCTCTGACTGGCGGCACTTAGCTTCAAAAAATAGAAGTGACTCCAAATTTATTCTGTTCCTTGGAATGGGAAGAAATCAGGACAAGGAGTCTCCTGAAAGCTTTCTTCTGCTTATCTCTCTTTGCAGATCTTTAAGCTGTCGAGCTAAAATTTCCTTGGACTGACATATTGTCCTGTTTTTTTGTAACAAAACTTAAATTGAAGCTAAAGTGCCTTGACTAGGGTTTTCCCTGGTGCAGATTAGCTAATTTACATTTACTTAGTAGCACCCTGCAAATTTATGTAAGCAGACAGTCTTACTGGTGTTTTCACAGATCCCTTCAGTGTAGAGGAAGGACTTGTTTCTGCTGCATGGAGAAACAAGCACAGCAAGCTTGTACTTTCCAAAAAGAAAAAAAACGAAAAGTTGGGCAATGGAACATGGTTAGGAGACTACCAAAATGGGTAAAAGGGAAAAGTCAGCTGAATTAGGCAGTAGCAGGGCCAAAAAAATAAGCTGTTGTATTATAGCAGAATGTTCCTTTTGGAGGAAGAGGCTAATAATTTTGCAGACAGAGCAACAGCTGGTTATAAGCAAGCCTCAAGGTAGGAGTGCAAGTTAAGCAATATCCTGAAGAAGGGTGGTCTTGTTATTAAATCCGCCTCCATTTCCTGGTCATTGCTGCAGAGTTCCTCTGGGATCTGGAGGAGCTTCTCATCTGGGAAACAACAGCTTTAGTTCCTTCCCTTATGATTTGGATTTGGCACGATTGCCAGTCACTTGGGCTCTGCCCTGGTCTCACCAAATCTGGGCACCCTGGTAGAGCAGCTGGCGAGCGTGGCCGTACATCAGCAAGCGGAGCCTGCGGAGTAAAGTGGCTGGAGCTGAGGAGTAGGCGCCTTTGCCATGGCTGTCCTGGGAGGATGGCTTTGGGCTAGCTGTCTCTCGGTCCTGTGAGCTCAGCTTCCCATCCAGTCCCGTTGGAAAGAAAACCAGTTTGCCATTCCACAGCGTAGAAACAACGTGACAAGTGGGGTGATCAGCGGCTGCTTTCCAATGCACATTTCTGACCCAAACCCCACTGCTAACAGAGGCTTTCACTACCTTGGTCTTTGTACACTGCCTCCTAGACCAGGATCTGCAGGAATCACTCAGGTTTTAGAGGGATCGAGTCGCCTTCTGATATCTTCTTCCTCCTTTGAGTGTAGAGGGACTCCCCAACAATTGTGCTTTTAACTTGGACACATCAGTTAAATCCCTACACTGACATCAGATTTGGGGTTACAGCATGGCTATGGTTTCGAGCCTGGTAACGTGAGAGCAGCAGCACTTGTACAGCCGGGGCGGGAGTGGCTTCGTGTTGCTAGATGGAGCTTGGACGCTGCTGTTAGGTCCCAGATATCTGTCTTCAGGACAGGGCTGTTATGTCTGGGATATCGGTATGTCTTCACTGCTATTGTTTCCCAGGTTAGTTTGGCTGAAACTACTGTAGATAAGGTTACCTGCTGTGCCGTGCCGGTGTACCCTACATATAGATACAACCCTGGAATATATGGGAGTTATAGCATTCACTCTGCTTCCTAATGAATCATCAGATGTCAGTGCTAACCAGGGACCCGACCCTTCCCATAGTCACAGGGTTTCATCCCGCAGAGGCCAATTATACCTGTAACCACGATCTAACCCAGCAGTGGCCCACAGGCTCAGGTGCAGCATCTGCTTTGCTGGGGAGTTTTTGCCTCGGGACATTTGACACAGAAACTAGCTTTTGTCAGCCAGGCAGTTTTCTTTTATCTATCCGTGCAGTTTCTGTCTGTGTTGCTACGCATATTCTTCAGCGCACAGCTCTGGACATCAGAAATACAGCAGTGAAGTGGTCATAGGGTACAAACTTCTCTTCTTCATGATGGTGCATTGGGGTTTGCTGTCAGAATACCAGAAAGGAAAGGGGAAAAAATGCTTTATTTTTTTTAAAAGCCCAGGACACTTGATTCCTGGTGGCAGCAAAGCCATCTCGCCCAAGAGCTTGCAAAGAGTTGCTTTCCGCTTTGTCCCTTGAACATTCCACTTTATCATTGGCAGTTCCAAGCTCTGCTCTGGTTTATGCAGGACCAGATCCTTAACTGGTCCAAATGATACTCTCATCATCTGGCTTTTAAATTATTGTAAAACATTAGAATTTGTGTCTGTACTTTCAGATCAGGTCTCTGGCTAGAACCACCCAAAGGTATCTCTTACAGATAGTGGCTGGATTAATGTTTTACGGCCACTTTTTGTTGGGGTTCCTGCAGTGAAAGATGTATGTAGGGAATACAACGTGTGCCGGCTCTGTCCTGCCGAGCCCCAGAGCTCCTTGTGTGCCCTCCTGTTGCCTAAGCTGGCAGTTCAGATGCATTTGTTTCTGCTGTACAGTGAATTGATACTGCTGGAGATACAAATGCAGATTAAGGTGCAAGCAAATTCAACCAGTCTGGATGGGTGAACGGTGATTAATATCTGCTGACTGGCTTTCCCACTTCACTGAATAAATTATAGCTTTATTCATAAGGAATATAATGTCCTTTTCAATGAATTTAATCAGCCAGATCCTCAGCTTTGATTTCTCACTCCTTAGTTTGCCTTTCCATAAAACATTGTGAGGGTTTTCCCATTCTCCTGGACTTGCTCTGAGCCCTCTTGTTAGAGGAAACACATGCCCCCTCTTTTGCACCTCTCTCTGGGCCTGAAAATGGGTTGTTATTTAAGGACTTTTATAGATGGGAGCAGACATCACAGAAATGAAGGGGAAACTAAGAATTGAACCATGTCCTGTTGACCTTAAACCTCCCTGTAGCCACTGAGCACAGAGCCTGGGCGGTGGCAGGGCACGGCCAGCTGATCGGCCCAGCACCATGTCCCCGGGTCTCGCCAGCTCCCAGCACACATCGCACGCACGGAGCGGCTTCAGAGATGCACAGGGAACAGCACAGCGAGCAAGGCTTTGCTGAGCCCTTTGCACAGCTCTTCCCCAAACGTTATACGCTGACAAAAGCATTGCCTGATCTGCCAATTCCTGCCAATTTTTAGTAATGTTATTTCTTTGTGTTATTGTAGTTTCTGATTTTTTAATGAATCTTCTCAAAATGAACATTTTCCTCTTGCACAGAAGATGATGTTGCAGCCCCCTTTCCCAGCCTGATCAGCAATCTCAGGTGACTCGAATAGCAATGGTCTCTTCCCATTTTCCTCTCCCACCCCGAGGATATTATGCTCCAATTCCTTAACCTAATTTTTCAGCTTCTCAGCCTCTTTTAACCTACTGTGGTGAGAAGCAGCCAATGCACTGTAAACATCTCGGTTTCTCACCATATTTCCCATTCAAGCCAGCTGCAGAGCACCTACAGAGGAGATTTTGAATGGCTTTGGCTCAGTCCACCTAATTTTAAGTAGGCAACTCAAGTACCTTGTCTTTGGTATCTCAACCTGCTCTTTGAGCAGGGAGATGAGCACAGAAACACCAACCCCCATGGGAGGCGAGGTGCTTGCCACCTTTGCAGATGGAAGATGTTAGTTAGCCTCCCCGCTAATTCAGGCAGCCCTCCTAAGGGACCCCATCCAGAGCTCCTCAGCCTCACCTCATCATGCTTGGTCCTGTCTTGTCACTTTATGACCCTGCAGGACCCCAACATTTGAGAGGATCCCCCACACCCAGCCTGAGAGGATCCCTGCAGGTTTGGAAGGCAGATTCGGAGCTGGGTGTTGGAGCCTGAGAGCCTCACAGGCTTTGGCTGGCTGCTCCCCAGAGCACCTCTCTTGGTTGCTCCCTTGCTGAGCATCATCAGCTCTGTCCACATGGGAACAGTTCATGACACTTGCTAGCAGTGAAGTGGCTCAGCTGGTGCTGGTGGTGGGTTTTGTGCCGCAATGCCATGCATGTAGCACCAATGACCACCGCTCATGGCATGGAGCATCCTCAGCACCCTTCGCCAGGTTGGTTGCCCACAGCATGGTCACCCTTCACCCTAGCACTGGTGGGACATCTCCTTGCTGCCACTTGTACCCCTGCAGGGAGGGACTTACGTTGCCTTGCTGCTGCTCGCAGCCTGTCTCGTGGAGACCTGAGTGGCCTGAAGTAATACGTCTGCTGATGCATTGCTGTAGAAGTTCCTGTGGGAGTACCTGTCCATGGGGAATGGGGCCTTCCCGGCTCTCTGGATGAAGCACTGGCCCAGGAGCTGGCACCAATTTGCTGTTTGTGGTTAGGCAAAGAGCATCGTCTAATAGCAGAGGATACTGGAAAGTGTGGGGCAGGCTCAAGTGCAGTGGAGGTGGGAAGAGGGCTCACTTCTGGGTCGGGACAGAGCCAAATGAGGTCAGAGAAGGGTGTGCGGGGCAGGCAGTGTCATAGCATTGGGACAAAGAGCCGCCTGATGAGGAAACAAAGTCATTGCTTAGAAGATGGAGTATGACCGAGACCGGAGTGGGCTGATGGGGAAGTGAAAATAGCAAGTGGGGGTAATTTGAGCAATCCAGGGCCCTGCAGTGACACTTGAAGCACAATCCCCACTGATAGCGTGGGGCTGTCTGATGAACTGGGACAGTGTCAGCCTAAGGCGAGGAGTCAGAATCGGGTGGGAGATAACGAAAGGAGGAGGGGAAGGCAGACAGTGGGAGGGGTACCTCTGCACCAGGCGTCTTCAGTTGCAGCAATTCCCTTGCTCGTGGCGTGTCTGAAGTATCTTTACCTGGTGGCTGGTGGGTCTCCAGGCAAGAAGGGTGAGAGCCCGTCAGGGACACAGTCCCTCTGTCCTCTGGGGTTGGGCTTCCAGAGTCCTCTCATCTCAGAAGCCATGTGAAAGAAATTTCCCTCATAGCGAATGCCTGAGAGGAGTATGAAACGCCATTCAATCTCCCTTCAGAGAATAATTAATTTTGTAATAATTTAAAATAATTTAACTTTGCATAATGGGCAGAAGCAGGCCTAGGCTCTAGCTTTTTTTTGGAGTTGCAAGCGCAATAGCATGGAGAACTTCCAGGCATAGTGTCTGGCTTGGAAAATGCTGCTGGAGGATTAGGCAAGTGAAATACCTGGAGTCCCGGCTTGATATCTAAAGTCCTATCTGATGCTTAGATTTGAAACTGCGGGAGGGGTGGGGGAAGCTTTCCTTTAAGAACTTCTTCTCCAAAAAACCAAAGCAAAACGCACCAAACAAAAACTCTGGGTGGGACATAGGGGTAGATTTTTATAACCCTGAGGATCAAGAAATCATAAGACATCTGTTCTATTTACTGCGTTTAAATTTGTATTGTTATACAAACTCCACCTCTAGCTTTGCAGCTTCTGGAGGGACAAGTTGGTACGGAGTGATCCTGAAAAGATGAGAGAGATTCCTGGAGGAGAGATTTACATTGTCTATCATCTTATCACCAGTCTGTCCCTCTTGCTTTTTTTTCCCCCCCCTGCACAGCTAAAGAGATGATTAAAGAGCTGGGGATTTAATTACAGCCAGGTATGCCTTGGGGGAAAACCCACTCGCTGAAAGGACCTTGCAACAACAAACAGAAAGTTCTCCAGTTTCCTCGCTTTGAAGGATTTCAATCTGTGGAGTGGGGCAGGTTGGAGGGGGAAAGAAAGTGATTAGGTTGGAGTTTGCAAAACACACGGTCCTCTTCCCCCTGTTCAGCAAAGTGCTGCCTTCAGCAGTTTGGTCCTCACCGTCGGCTCTCCTTCCAGTCCCACCGCCCTCCTGCTCCTCTGCAAGACCTGAACTACTTCTCAAGCGCTTTCTAGCATGGCCGTGTCGGTAAAACAACTCCCTTTTCCCCCGCCCAAGGTTTTGCACCACCTTCAGCCTTTGCAGAAAAGCCTCGTGATTTCGGTTGCCCCCTGCGGTCTGCCCCAGCCGGTGCCCACCCGCACATCCCACCCCAGCCGGCAGTGCGCTCACCCTGGGAACTGCCAGCCGGGCACAATTTCAAAGAGAAGAGATATGGGTCCGGTGCGTGGGAGGCTGCCTCTGATGTGAATCGTGCTATCTGCGCTAGGGATGGGGCCCTGCATCTTCTCTGCTAGGCTGTACCAGCTTATCTGACCTGCTGCGCCTGCCTCTCCGACCTGCTCATGTCTTTTCATTTCCAGGCTGTTGGGGGAAAGGGAATGTATTTTGTTGCCAGGCTCTGTCAAGCTTTCGATCGGTGCTGATGGAAGAATCTGTAGAAAGAGTCCTGTGTCCGCTGAGCGTGGAGGACCAGCCGAGCCCCTTTAACCTCCACCGATGAGGTTGGCTACATGCGGGTGCTGGTCCTGCTCAGCAGCGGCTCCACGCAGCAAGGCTAGTGCTTCATCGTTCAAAGGTCTTCCAAAAATTAGCACCTTAAACCTTCAAACAGCAACGATCTTTTCCATCCTGCAAGGGTTTCATGAAATTTGTTAATGAGGTTAACAATAAAATGGGTAATTGTCTGTTCTGAGCAAATGGGAGCTGCTGCCTTCCCAGAAATCAAATACACTGATAGAGGTAGAGAGCATTTTTCTACGTGATCAGCTGGAACTGGTGTGGTGAATCCAGCATAATGACAAGGAGAGATTTGGCTGTTCTTATGCATTTATTGGGAGACTTATTTGCCTTTAAAGAAGCAGGAGGGGAGAAAAAAAGAGATGAGTTGGTTTTCCCTGTGACATGTGTACACAGCCACGGGCAGTGCCTGTTATTTCACTTGCAAACAATTTCCTCTCTCTTTTGTTTATTGATGACAGAAGGCATTCCAGCCAGGTACACTGGCTCTTCCCCGACTTCAAAGGAGGTCAGGTTACAAAGGCAAGCACCGTGCAGGCAAAATGAAATGCAGGAGGGGAAGGCCCATTGCAGTCCATCTCAAGGGAAGGTTATATGCAAGAGAAAAGACCAGAACGCACCAGCATCATCAGTGCCACCAGGGCTTGTCCATGGGAGCGGTGACAGCCAAGTCATCTGGGATGGCCCCACTACCCCCTGGCAATGGCAGCACAGGTCCAAAACCTTACATGGGAGAGTGCACCTGAACCACCTCTTGCTGCCTCCTCCCCAAATGTGCCTGTGCCGACGGCTGCCACTCACACAGACCCCAGGACTGTGTGCCCAGGGAAAACTGCAGGCTGGAAGTAATGGGTTTTCAGGTCTAAATTCAGACTGGAAGCGAGGTCAGAGCTCCTGGTGACTGGAAACATTATCCAGTGCCTAAATCACGGCGCTGTGTCCAAAATCAAGATGATGGGACTTGCCTGCCTGCGGCTCATGGCTGGATCGGCCATAACCATGCTGGGGAGGGAGTCAGGCGGCCCAGAAAACCAGTGGGGAGGCTGGAGCCTGTGTAACCCAAGGATAGCTGCTTAGCCCCGAAGGGAAAGCAGGTGACTTGGGCTGATGCTTGCCCTTGGAAAAAGTCCCATCGCTGAGTCGGTTGGTTC